ATGTTCCAAATATTTTAATCATACTTCAAGTATTTGATTTAAGCTTATTTGGATTCGGATTGAATCATTTTTTTTTTGTCATTAGGTTTATCCCATTCCATAACACTCAATCCAAACAAACATTTTTTTTGAAATATAAAACAATTTTCATTTCTCAATGCACTAATATTTTTAATTGTATATAAATATTTATTTATAATTTTGTTTATTATTATAGTACATACAAAATAAAAATATGTGACGAAAAACCAGTAACTTCCATGTAATCAGAAAAAATGTCATCTTTAGCTAGATTTCAAAATGAATATCCTGAGCTAAAATTTCTTCGAATTTAATTCAATTCTAGCCAGTTCAAAGTGCTTTAGCCTTCGAGACCAATACTGGCGGAATCTTTGCTTTGCATACTCCAAGTAATTGAAGTAAGTATCATTTACATGATCCTGCATACAACAGAGTGAGTAAATTAACGGTTTAAATGCAATGAGGTTTTATTATGAAAAGGAAGAGCAACTTACCTACCGAAATTAATCCCCAAATCAAGTGACTAACGAGAGTGTACTTCTCAATTCTTGCGAGGAGATTCTCAACTTCAAGAGGGTCTGGTTTGTCACCTATTATTACACATACAAATAAAAATACAATTTTATTTAAAGAGAAAAAGTTCAAAAATTAATTATTGATCCATTTTAACTCAGAGAGAGAGAGAGAGAGACTAAGAAAAGTATTAATGCTTCATTTTGGCCATTCTTTTTCATTTTTGTGCCTTTTTTCCTTTTATTTTTCTTTGTGAAAAAGTGTTGTTCTTCGTGATTTTTCAAGAGCAAGTGTAATAGTGATTGTGGGAGAGTGTTTGAGAGAGATTTATTACAAGTAGAGTGTGAAGGGTTCACAAAATTACTCAAAAGTAAGGATCTCTTTGTGTTTTTGGTTACAACTCTTCTTTTCTTCTTTCAAGTTGCTAATGAGAAGATCTGGTTATTTGCAGACACTTGAAGAGTGTGAAAGGATGACGGTTCTTTGCCTACACTTGGAGAGTGTAAACAGACGACGATTCTCTGCCGACACTTAGAGGGTGTGAAAGGATGATGGTTCTTTGTCAACACTTGGAGAGTGTGAACAGATGACAGTTCTTTGCCGACACTTGGATGGTGTGAAAGGATGACAGTTCTCTACCGAAACTTGGAGAGTGTGAACATACGACGGTTCTCTGTCGACACCTGGAGAGTGTGAAAGGACAACGATTCTCTACCGACACTTGGAGAGTGTGAACAGACAATGATTCTGTGTTGATGCTTGGAGGGTGTGAAAGGACGAATAGTTCTCTGTCGCACCAGGAATTGGTGAAAAAAAGGAATTGTAAAGGCTTCTCCTCCTTACTGTGAGGACAAAAGGAAAGTCACTTTTATAATAGTACAATACATGAAGAGAGAGTCTTTAGGGAGTGGAAGTAGGTCATGTTTGATCGAACCACTATAAATCGTTGTGTCATTTTATTTTCTGCTTTTTTATTTTTTGCAATTTTGTTATTGTGGTTGAAAAGCTCATTTCTTCGAATTTAATTCACTTCTAGCCAGTTCAAGATGCTTTAGCCTTCGAGACCAATACTGGCGGAATCTTTGCTTTGCATACTCCAAGTAATTGAAGTAAGTATCATTTACATGATCCTGCATACAACAGAGTGAGTAAATTAACGGTTTAAATGCAATGAGGTTTTATTATGAAAAGGAAGAGCAACTTACCTACCGAAACTAATCCCCAAATCAAGTGACTAACGAGAGTGTACTTCTCAATTCTTGCGAGGAGATTCTCAACTTCAAGAGGGTCTGGTTTGTCACCTATTATTGCACATACAAATAAAAATACAATTTTATTTAAAGAGAAAAAGTTCAAAAATTAATTATTGATCCATTTTAACTCAGAGAGAGAGAGACTAAGAAAAGTATTGAAGCTTCATTTTGGCCATTCTTTTTCATTTTTGTGCCTTTTTTCCTTTTATTTTTCTTTGTGAAAAAGTGTTGTTCTTCGTGATTTTTCAAGAGCAAATGTAATAGTGATTGTGGGAGAGTGTTTGAGAGAGATTTATTGCAAGTGGAGTGTGAAGGGTTCACAAAATTACTCAAAAGTAAGGATCTCTTTGTGTTTTTGGTTACAACTCTTCTTTTCTTCTTTCAAGTTGCTAATGAGAAGATCTGGTTATTTGCAGACACTTGAAGAGTGTGAAAGGACGACGGTTCTTTGCCTACACTTAGAGAGTGTAAACAGACGACGATTCTCTGCCGACACTTAGAGGGTGTGAAAGGATGATGGTTCTTTGTCGACACTTGGAGAGTGTGAACAGATGACGGTTCTTTGCCGACACTTGGATGGTGTGAAAGGATGACAGTTCTCTACCGAAACTTGAAGAGTGTGAACATACGACGGTTCTCTGTCGACACCTGGAGAGTGTGAAAGGACAACGATTCTCTACCGACACTTGGAGAGTGTGAACAGACAATGATTCTGTGTTGATGCTGAAAGGATGAATAGTTCTCTGTCGCACCAGGAATTGGTGAAAAAAAGGAATTGTAAAGGCTTCTCCTCCTTACTGTGAGGACAAAAGGAAAGTCGCTTTTATAATAGTACAATACATGAAGAGAGAGTCTTTAGGGAGTGAAAGTAGGTCATGTTTGATCGAACCACTATAAATCCTTGTGTCATTTTATTTTCTGCATTTTTATTTTTTTCAATTTTGTTATTGTGGTTGAAAAGCTCATTTCAAAAGATAATCAAATTTGGGAATTGGTTAAAATGGTTTTCTATTAAAAAATCCAAGAGAATTTTTAAATTACTAATTCAACCCCCCCCCCCCCTCTTGGTTAGCCTTGGGACAATAGCTTAGGTTTAACAACCTATACGGAATCAATAGTTTAATTGAGTGTTATAAATGGACTCATATTGCTGTTGAGATTATTAATCATTATGGGAATGATACCTCAAGTTTCTTGATTGCCTTATTTTTTTAAGGGGGAGGTTTATTAGTTTCTTATTGTAAGTTCTTGCATTTATTTGAGAATTCTTTGGACTATTTTTTATTGGCAATGATGTCCTCACCAAGAGTTATTTATGCTTTTACTCTATTAATAAGATTAAAATAAAATCAACTATTTATTGTAATAATGAGCAGTGAAAAGGTCTAGGGTGGAGAAAAATAACTTAAATTAAGTTTGAATCTACTCGCAAAATTTGAAATGCATAAGAGGAGAATCTTTCAAAATATTCCTCAAGTGTCTCTTCATCAATTTGTTAAATTCTAGAAAAATAGGAGGAATCCTTAATGATCCTCTGCTTAACAATGAATTATTTGATTAAAAGATTAATTTGGTGAAATTAAGAATAGTTTTACTAGAGAGTAAAATTAAGAGAAATATTTTCTCAATAGAGTTATAAGGAAGATTTTACATAAGTTTACAGCAAAAAATTGTTGACATACATGATGATTCTGTACTATTTGATATAATAATAAGGATATCAAGTCTCGTTATAATGATTAGTTATAGGAAACTTAAAGTCCATTATGATAGATAATAGATAATTCCCTCAACTAAAGATAAAAGATTTTTTAAATCAACAATGTTGAGTAAGTTCATTCCTACCGATCACAAGTAATTCCTTATAAACAGGGTATTAAAGTTAATATCTTATACTATCATGAGAGGCATCAATAATGCAAGGTTGATATAAGCCTATCAAGATTTTTAAAAGATTATGAGTTAGTCGAGTAGCATGAGATGGATATGTCGAATAAGCAATATTTGAGAGACCCTATTGAGGCTATATGGCGGAGGAACTATAATATATTGATAAGGAGATACTATAAAGGTATTATCAAATTGATTAGCCCTATATTATTAGTTTTTGTAGGAGAACTCTATCATACTACGATGCTGCTATTTAATGCTAGTCTTTCTTAGAGAGTTGAAGGAATTTAGCTTGATGCAAATCCATCCTGCATATACGAGCCTCCAAAGTGAGGCATAAGTAGCCTTAACAAGTTTGATTGTGTTGTCTTTAATTGATGGATTGATTGCTTGCCTTCGAAAAAAATATTTATAAAATGATCAGAATGTTTCTCACATATGATGCAAATGATTACATTATACAAGATTTATCAAGATAAATTGAAAAATTAACATCTATGTTTTGTATAAAGATTCAACACATACACAAATAAAGAAGTTGCAAGAGACACTAGAGAATTTTATATGAAAAAATGGAAAAGGAAAAAATAACACAGCCTAGCCTAGATGATGAGATTGACTTTGTAAGTTAAATTATAGAGATTCACTCTATCCTACAATTGGAGAAGAAATGATTATAAAATAATAAGCAGAAGCATGATATCATATAATTAAAATAGAGATTGCTAAAAAAGTCATGGCGGAATAACGAAAATGTTTGGACAATATTAGATTATTAGTGGAGTGATTATAATCGATTGATAATAATCATGCAAAAATGGTTTAATAAAAGTGGTTTGATGATGATAGTTGGGCGATGGCTCCAGACAATGGTAAATAGGCAATGTGATCAAAGAACGATATAATAAAAAAAGAGGGGATTGACGACATTGATTAAATGATTATTTTTGTTAGCAGTGATTGACCACTTCAAATGTTGGTTATAGCTATAGGGTTCTTAAAATATTTAAGATTTTTGTTCCCTTCATGTAGAGAATTATTTATATTTCTCAATGAGCTCAATTCAATAATCTTTAGCTCCTTAGATTTGTCTTTGCAAGATGCTCGATTTGATTATAAACATTCAAGATTCAAAAACCATTTGATCATACAATTAAACTCCCAATATTTTCAATCATACATCAAGTGTTTGATTTAAGCTTATTTGGATTCGGATTGAATCATTTTTTGTATCATTAGGTTTATCCCATTCCATAACACTCAATCAAAACAGACATTTTTTTGAAATATTAAACAATTTTCATTTCTCAAAGCACTAAAATTTTTAATCATATACAAAATATTTATTTATAAATTTGTTTATTATTACAGTACATGCAAAATAAAAGTATCTGACAAAACATTAGTAAAATCAGAAAAAATTGTCATCTTTAGCTAGATTTCAAAATGGATATCCTGAGCTAAAATTTCTCCGGATTTTAATTCTCTGCTCGCCAGTTCAAAGTTCTTTAACCTTTTGAGACCAATACTGATGAAATCTTTGATTTGCATACTCCAAGTAATCGAAGTCAGTATCATTTACATGATCCTTCATACAACAGAGCGAGTAAATTAATGGCTTGAATGCAATGAGGTTTTATTATGAAAATGAAGAGCAACTTACGTACCGAAATTAATCCCCATAATCCCCAAATCAAGTGACTAACGAGAGTGTACTTCTCAATGCTTGCGAGGAGATTCTCAACTTCAAGAGGGTATGGTTTGTTACCTATTACACATACAATAAAAATGCAATATTATTTAAAGAGAAAAAGTTCAAAAAATTAATTACTGGTCCATTTTAACTTAGAGAGGGAGCCTCAGAAAGGTATTGAAGCTTCATTCTGGCCATTCTTTTCCATTTTTGTGCCTTTATTTTTGTTTTATTTTCCTTTGTAAAGCCAGCTCACTTAAGTGAATTAAAGACTTATTTAGTGAATGATACAGTAAGTTCTCAACTTTGGCATCCCATTAAAACCACCAAAAACTCCAAATTTCTTTCATTTTCAAAGTGGAGGAGAATTTGATTCTTTTTTTAAAGCTTGTATGCCACAATAAGAGGATGAGACCTTTATTGAAGGAAAGCTTCACCTGTAAATGCTCATGCATTTTATGGGACGATGTTAATATTCTTGTGCATGTGAGCGTAAATAAAATTTCCAATACTTTGTATAAGATATTCCAATTCTTTGTTTAAGAAATACCCTTGCATATTTGCATTTTAGTTGTGTTTAATTTCTTAGCTAGATGGAGGATTCCAATACTATTTTTGAAAGTGTCCTTTTATCAAAATGACCAAGTTGGTAGTGATGATAATGCAAATAAAATAGATAATGATGAACACAATGATGCTGACATTTGTGGATTGATGGAAAATAAATGGATGAGACAAGAGTTTTGAAGATGAGAAGAAGGATGAGTTCAACTACCTAGAGTCATTTTAAGATATAGCCCATGATATTGATGGAAAACAAAGATGTGAATGTAGAAAATGTGGTGCAATATTTCAATGTATTAGTAAAAATGATACTGACAAGCTAAAATGCCATTACAAAATTGTAAGAAACGAGGTACTCTAGATATAGTAGTGCTTATTTTGCAAACTAACTACCGCTTATCCATTTTTATGTCTTATATTAAGTTTGACCAACAAGAGTTTCATTATTTATTTAGTGTTTCTATTAGTATGCATCATCTGCCCTTTCAATATAATGAACCAGTAGGTGTTTGAGCACTATAACTTTTTCTGTGCATTGATGTACAATTAGACTAAAAAAATACTACAATAAATGACTAAAATAAATTGTTCATTAAAGAAAAAGAGCATATTAAATCATTATTATCAAAATCTACTAGTTGAGTTTGTTTAACATCTGACCCATAGATTTCTATGACACATGCAGTTTTATCGGTTTAACTATGCACTTCAATGATAATAACTTGTGTTTACAAAGAAGATAATGAATTTTTGTTTTATGCCACTCCCACATGACAGAATAGCTTTATTTGAAAAGCTACAATCGTTTTTAATTGAATATACCTTTATTTGAAAAACTACAATCTTTAAGAGTAAGCTTTTTAGTATTTAGGGTTTAGGAAAATGCTTCTACTAATAGTATTTTTTCTTGTTTTTAAGAAATCATTTAAATTTATGAGGTAGACCATTGTGATGGTGAATTGTTTCATATATGATGTTGCATACATATTGTGAACCTTATTGTGTAGGAAGGTATGAAGGAGATAAATTAATGTATTTCAAATATATACTAGGGTGAGAATAAAGTATGTAAAAGGTTCTCAGGCTAAAAAAAAAAAAAATTGGGCTGTGACAAAATAAGTTATCTTGATTCAAAAAGTGGTTTGGGGCAAGTTGTTCCTATAAGATGGAACACTTTTATTATGCTTGACATTATTATTAATTATAGATGTGATTTTCACATTTCTACTTGAGTGATTCCAACTATAAGTCTGATCCAAATAGCATTGAATGAGATATAATGGAGAACATTTGTGATTTCTTAGCTCTTTTCTATGAGATAACTTGTGCATTCTCTAGCACTAAATGTTCAACTGCAAATCTACACTTCCCTTAAATCTCTACTAATTATGCAACGCCAAAGCATGTAATGGCATCAAGTATGCTATCCAAATTTGAGAAGTGCTAGTCAATTTCCTTTATCTTAAAAAAAGTAGCTATTATTCTATATTCCAAATAAAGATTTAACTTTGTTGTGTTGTGTTACCAGAAATTACGTGGTTATGATTATGTTCTTTAAACTAGAAAGCTTAGAGATAAGTTATTTTCATTATTTGAAACTACTCAAAAGCTAACAAGTATGGTTTAGAGGGACAATTATCAATAGCAATACAAAGTTCTCAAATTAATATTTCAAATAGTCTTTCTTCTATAATTATTAAATTATAATTTATGCAGTACTTCTATTTAAATTACTGTAATTATATGTTTATGCTTGATCTAATTTTTATAAATACTATTTTTTTTTAAATTTATCAAGATTATTTTTTAACTTCACAAATAGGATTTTAATTCATTCCAGAAGGAAGTTACAATGCCTAAAAGGTAAAAAAAATGAAATTTATCTTGATGAACTTAAAATAGAAAATTTGAATTAGATATCTTACATTTCTAGAATGGTCATTTGTATTGTGTTGACCTTAATTTTGCCCAAGCTCTTGGTCAAAGGGTTGACTTGGTAAAATTGACCAAGTCAGACCCCAAGACCCTCTTCAATAGGTTCAATGAGTCGAACTGAGTCTGTTGAGGTCAGACCTAGGTTCTGGGTGAACTTGGTTGACCAGGTCAACCCGGGTTGACCCAAATTGACCTAGAAGAGCCTAATTCATTTCCAAATCAATTTCAACTCTTCTATGGTTCAGCCCTCCACCCACTTGGGTCTAATTGACCATGTTGACTATGATGACTCATGCCTTGGTCAAACCTAGTCTTGCATGGTCAAGCTTGACCTATTTTGGTCAAATTCATCCTAATTTAATCTCATTTAATGCCCTAATTGATTGCTAATGCATTTTGAATTTAAAACCATGGCCCCAAGGCCAATTTCCCTCCTATTTTGGCCCTTGATCTCATCCCCGCCGTTGATCATAGAGTAGAGGCTTTAAATAGAGAAAAATTAGGTAATTTTAGGACCTTTTGCCAATTGCTCTCACTCCAAGTCTTATCAGCCCGAGATTCTTGAAGAGAGAGCTCCCCTCACCTTCCACTTGCTTGCCCAACCAAATCCTGACGACCCTAAGCCACCGGCGACGTCAACTCTGGTGAACCGAGACCAAGGGACGTCCAGAGCTTCTTCCGTCCGATCGAGGCCTTTTAGGAGCTCAATCTCAAGAGGAATATTGTTCGTGAGGAGTCCACGAATCCAACGAGCCCAAGAACTCCCGAATCCACCGTGTGGATTGAGGTAAAACCTAAACCCTAGCTAGAAACACTTAGGGTTAATTAGCGTTTCATAAAATGCATTTTAGATCGTAAAATTACACCCCCAACATTGTTCTTCATGTGTGGAGTCTAGATCTAAAATTTTGTTTAATTTGGCTCACCCTATCGAGAGAACGAGATGAAAAATAGGTTTAGGGTTTCGGACGTTAGGTTCTATTCGCCTGAGGGAAGCCGGACCGTTGATCTATCAACGGTCGTGATCCAGCCGTTCCGCAGCTTGGATCGACTCGGGGCTAGATCCCACAGTTAATGCTCCCGTGCGGCTCCATCTGGACCGCTCGTTTCGGACAGCGGAAGATCGGACGGTCCCCGCGGCCATCCGACGTAGAATAGTGACGAGCTACCGTCGCATGATTGCGCAATTATGGTGCAATGATTGGCGGCGGCGCTAATCATTGCCCATGATTGGTGCGCCGTCTTCCCGGAACCGCAGATCGAACCCGGGCAGGCCACGTTTCGTCGCCGATTGTTTTAAATAAAATAAACTTTTTTTTATTAGTTTAAAATCTATTTTAACTTTAAAAAATCATAGAAAATTCATTTTCGCTCCATTTTCGACATATAATACCTCATTTTGATCATATTTTTATTCTCTACATGATAAATTTTTTTTTATAAAAATAATGTGTAAATTTTATATTATTTACAAAACAGTAAAAACACTATTTTTAAAAATATTCTTTTAATTATTTTATTATAATATCATTATTTTAATTATAATATATTTACCCTTGTGCGACTATTTTAATATTATTTAAATAATTAATTACCCTAATTATTTTGAAATTAAAAATTTTTTTGAAACCTTGATTGGGTGAGCTGTGGGTCTCCCGTATATTTATTTACTATAACTTGACTTATTTTTAATTATCTTAATTTTCAAATTTTACATATATGTATTTAAGTATTTGAAAACTACTTTAAAATTACTTATATGTTAAATCTTTTAATTTTGGGAGACCCACTACATGAAATTTTAAGCATAGATCCTACTTGTGAAGAGTAATCATGGGGGAGTGGATTAGTGGATGGTTGAGTTCCAATCATTCATTAATCTCTTCATTAGTTTTATTTATTGTTCGTTGGTCGTAGATTATATATGTAGGTCGCACCACGAGCACTTAACTTAGGCTCTCCTAGATCTAAGGATATGGTGTGTTTACTACTTTTATTTATTCCATGCATTTATTACCTTGAGGGTTACTGCAAAACTATATTTAAACCTTTACAACATAGTGACACCCTAAGGACAACAATTAAGGAAAAAAAAAAGGACAACAATTAAGGACCCGTCTAGCAAATTTAGAAATTTTCTAGGGGATAGGATAGACCCCCAATTGACATGAAAACTTCAAAACTTAAACTTAGTGAAATCTAAAACATTCCAGAATTTTCTAGAAAATTTTAGAGCTTGTTAGCCACATAATTAACCAACCATAATTAACTTGCTAAATAAGGCCCCGAGACCTTATAAAATTACAATAAATACAATTTTAGGTCAAAATATTACTCATAATATCTTGCACTGACCAAAATCTGACCCTTGACTTTAGATAAATAGGGCTCCTCAGTTTGACTCTAGGTTGACCCTTAATTTGAACATAGGTGGAAATTAACTTTTTTGCCTCTAATAATTCATTAAAAATTATTTAAAATCTCAAATTTTCACCAAACACTTAGGATCACTTTCTCAGGTCATCCCCAACTTTTGGGAGTGATTTCAATCTGTTTGGGGCTGATTTGGGTCAAAA